ATCATTTATTTTATAAAAAGAAAGCCAAAATGGAGAAGCCATGTGTGAAAAACTAAGTACAACCTTAGTGCTTCCATAGGTATGAAGAGGCTAAGTAGCACAGAACTCAAAGAGGGTGTACTTTTTTTTTCACATGACTGTAGTTGGGTAATGAAACATCTGCAATCAAACCACCAAGCTCAGAGAACACCAGGGACTCCACAGTTCAACCCTGAACTACAGATGTTCTCTTCTATTTAAAAGTTCTGTTAGGCTTTTCTGGAATTGTGTAAGTCAGAATTGATGGCTAAACTTTTATGGGTTCATCAGATGTTCAACTCTTAAACATCTGATGAACCCATAAAAGTTTAGCCATCAATTCAATTTACACAATACCAAACTGATACACACTGAAGAGTCCCCATTCAGGTATAAAAGGCTTAAGTTATGCTGATCCTTATTAGATTGTTCCCTTTAATATGGTTTAGAAGTGAAAAGTTAGATTTTTTATATTAAAATACCTCTTTTTATGGTTTTATGTATGCAGGGGATGCTTTTGCAACACACTGCACATTTTCTTTGTGTAAACCTATGTTTTGTTGCTTAGAGCAATATTTAGAAACCTACACAGAATAGGAAAAAATAACTAATGAAGACAAGAGTTATATTTGAACTTTTCCCTATTAGTCTTCCGGAGACCTGTGAAGACCTGGCTTTTTACCCAAGTGTTGGGCTAGGATGGAAGCGAGGCCAGCAAATGTAAAGCTGGTGGGATGCTGTCACACTGTGTGGGAAGTATGATGTCTTTTGTGGGATTTTGTGGGTTTATATTTGTTTTTACAGAAAGTTGCTGTGAGCTGCCTAGGATTATCATGTATAAGATGGGTGGCCATATACATTTTCTAAATAAATAAACATAACCATAATCAAGTCCAGCAAAAGAAATATACTCTCTTGCTGCAGCCAGGAAAAAACAAACCCAAGAACAGCACGATAGAGATGTTCTTTGCAAAGAAGAGTAGTGGTTTGCTGATTCAGATGCAACAATTAAGGTAACTGTCTGGATACAGGCCTCAATTTCACCAATTTCTACATCAGTGTTTCTCAACCTTAGCAACTTTAAGCTGTGTGGACTTCAACTCCCAGAATTCCCCAGCCAGCATGCTGGCT